CCGATAACCCCCGCTCCAGCATTCCCGCTATCCCGGGCTCCCGGCAATCCGCTCTCCCTAGTCCTCCCGTACTCCCACTCTTCGTCTCCTCCTAACCCAGCTCCCCGCTAACACGCTTTCCCAGGCTCTCCCGTAACGCCAAACCCTGGTTCTCCAGTCCCCGAGCTCCCCAGTACCCCAGTTCCCTTGTCCCTGAGCTCCCTGGTGCCCCAGACAGTCCAGCCATGGCGTTCATGGTGAAGAGCATGGTTGGGGGGCAGCTGAAGAACCTCACGGGTGGGCTGGGCGGCGAGGAGAAGAGCGAGGGTGAGAAGTCGCCGGCCGAGGCGCAGGGCATGACCCGCGAGGAGTACGAGGAGTATCAGCGGCAGCTCGTGGAGGAGAAGTGAGTGCAGGCGGCCCCAGAGCCGGGCCTGGGGGGCGGCACAGCCGGAGGCGGTTAATGACCCCCCTGTAATCCCTTAAGCCGCTTCCTCGCCCGGGAGATGGGATTGCTTTCTCCTTTCGGACTATGTTGTGGTGCCGGTGTCACGGGGCTACTGGGGCAGGTGGTGGATACCTGGGAGGGGGGGATGGAAATGAGCCCAGCCACTGTCCAGGATGGGGGGCACGCACAGGGCAGGGAGTCTCCATGGGCCCCGTCCCACGGTAACTGCATCCTGTGCTCCGCAGGATGGAAAGAGATGCCCAGTTTGCACAGCGCAAGGCGGAGAGGGCCACCTTCAGGTCTCACTTCCGAGACAAGTATCGTCTCCCCAAGGTATGACCAACAACAGGGGGGCTCACAGGGAGCACAACGCCCCCAAAACCCTGCTGGGGGCTCCATTAATGGGGAGGCAGGCGAGATCCCCTCCACAGGGGCAGACCCAAGGACCTGGCCCTGGCCGCTTGCTCTCTTGGTCTCCAACGGTGGGACCCCTAGCGCACATCCTTCAGCTTGCTTGTTCCTCTCCTAACTTCGGTTCCATGGGAGAGCTCGCTCCACCTCAGCCGAAATTACACCTTCCACAGAGGATTAGCCGCCCGGATTACTTGGCCAACATTCCTTGGCTGAATTCCTCTTTTGGAACTTCTGCCCAACTAGCGATTCACCAGGAATAACCTAATCAGTGGCAATTCAGATGTCTTTGGCGAGCCTGCCCAGCTGCTCCATGCTCAATGCTCCCAATTGGGAGCTGGGCTAATTTTAGCTGAGGGAGGTCAGCTATGCCAGGGAATATTGTCCCCAGCGCCTGTCTTGTCCAACCTGGATGAATACACCAATCCCTTTGCACCCATTTCCCTGCCAGGGCATAGAAAGCTGGGGGATTTGTCCTCCTCTGCTGAAAGAGAAGAAGAGAAGATGGAGATTTTTCTCCAGGGGAAATGGGTATTTGTTCAGACATGGCCCCCAATTCCGCCGCTGCTTCCTCATGCTTGAGATGTCCCTTCTAATATGCAGACAAGTTTCCCCTGCTCATTACTGATCCCGCTTGACAGTCGGTCTGCCTGGGGGGCTCCTCGGTGTGGCGCTGACCCTGCTCCGCTCGCCGGCCGCTGTGAGTGCGCAAGTGCTGCAGGAGCTCGCTGTGTCCAGCCAAATGCTCACCGTGGAGCTGAAAGGATGCTCACAGCATCGGCGCAGGCTGTGCCAGCTCCCTTGGTGCACTTGTGGCCTTTGCATGATCATGGGAGGGATGGAGCGACATGGGCTGGCCAACAGTCCAAGGCTTGGATGGCTACCAAGACTCTGGGTTGGCTGCTGAGGCCCTGGGTTGGCTGCTGAGGCCCTGGGTTGGCTACCAAGGCCTGTGTGGGGGCATGCACTAGTGGGAGCTCTGCATGTGCCACCAGCATCCTCTTTCCCAACGCCTTGGTGTCCTCATGGTGTCCCTTGCAGAACGAGACGGATGACAACCAGATCCAGCTGGTGGGAGGAGATGTGGAGCTGCCCAAGGAGCTGGCCAAGATGATCGAGCAGGACAACGAGGAGGAAGAGGAGAAAAACTCGGTGATTGGGCAGCTCAGCAACATCCAGAATCTGGACCTTGACTCGCTCAAGGACAAAGCGTCGGCCACACTCGAGGACCTCAAGCAGTCAGCTGAGAAGTGCGCCGTGATGTGAGGCAGCCGAGTCCCCCGCGTCCCCGACCCGTGCTCTCCGCTGGCCCTGACATGCCCCTCCCCTTTCCCTCTCGAGGTGAGAGCAGGTGGCCCTGGTCCCCCCTGCGGAGCCCGATGCCCTTGGCGCAGTGTGGGACCGGCTGGTTGGCGGTGGGTGCCTTGCTCCTTCCAGGAGGAGAGAAACACACAAAAAAGGGGAAAAAAAGAAAAAAAAAAAAACAAGTCCCGGGTGCAAGGGAGAAATGCCTCCGTACATGTCGTGCTGTAACCGTGCGCTGTGCCCTGATGGGTTTCTGCACCTCCCGTGCTGTCCCTGTGTCCCAGTACTGTTGCCACCGGCGGAATAAACGCCCAGAGATGTCTATGCAGCTTGGCGTGTCACGGAGCTCCCTCTCTTGTGCCAGTGTCACTGGTCCCCGCGATCCCCAAGTGCCTTCGCCCTCCACAGCTGGAGACCCAAAACTGAGCGGGGACACAGCTCCTGCCCCAGCATAGGGGGTAGTGGGAGGGATGGACAGTCGGACACAGGCTTTTCGAGACACTGTGACCTCCGGAGCCCCAAGGACGAGGCTTCACACATGCACATCCCAAAACCTTAAAAGCAAAGAATTAGGAGGGATTAAGGCCAGGAACCAGTTCTCTCGCTCATGTTTGATAAAGCTCCGCGTGATTCCCCAAGCGCCGAACTCAGTGCCCGTGCCAGCAGGGTGGTAGCTCATCCTCACAGCTCTCATTCTCCACCACGCACTCCAACACCCTACGAGTCCTCGGACAATCTCCACCCCAGCACCCTACAAGCCCTCAGAGAATCTCCGCTGGCGGCTGCCCTTAGAAATAGCCGCGCCAGGAATAAAACCCAGGCATTGTGGCAGTGTCCGGTACGAAGGCGCTGGCCACTGCTCAGGCGTGCGTCGGCTGCGCTGCCACATTGCTGGCATCAGCGTGTGCAGTGACATTTGGGCAGCACACAGCAGGCCCTCATGCAGAAGTGACTTGGATGCATCCCGACACCACGGGCCAGCCCGCAGGGACCCGCCACCACGCCAGCCACCCCAGGAAAGGCTCCGTATGTGTCCGTACGGCTGTGGAGCACGTATGTGCTGATGTAGGATCCATGCAGCAGCCGGCGAGTTCACGTGAGCTACAGCGGGGGGAAGGCGGCTTGGAAGCTCTCTAAAGCCTCAGGCCATAATAAAAAAAAAAAAAAAAAAAAACATCCCAGGGCTTCAACACATCTGCCTGGGAGCTCTCCAGAGACGGTGCCGGAGCAGCCTGGCTCCTGGCGGAGCCGGCGTCATCACAGATCACAAGCGAGCGGGATGCACGCGAGGGGAAGCGCCGCAGGAAAGCGAGCGGCGAGGAGGGCAGCTAGGGCAGCCGTGGGAGCCCCCTGGGCATCCCCAGCCCCTCCTGCGAATCTGGGGGGATTTAGGGGATTTGGGGGAGTGCATTTCCATGCTCGGCCCTGCGCGTGCTGGCTAGCAATACGCTTTACATAAAGGAAGATACAGAGGGAAAACAAGGTCAGAGCGTGTGTGGCTGCTCGTGTCTCATGGGGGGGTGTGTCGGGATGGGGAGAGGGCAGGAGGATGCAAGCCAGGATCGCTCCCGGAGCCAGGGCGTCCCCTTCATCCTTGTTTTGAGCTGATTCAAGGCACCAAGCTAAGGCTGAGTGTTTGGAGAGGGAAAAAAGGGTATTTAATAAAGACAAAAAATTACATTCCCTTGAAATACAGCAGATTTGGAGAAAAGTCCCTTGCTTCCCGGGGTGCCACTGCTCCCATAGATGACTTGTACCTGGGGCACAGGGCTGGGGGGAGCCACCCCAGCCAGACCCTGTCCTGGGTCAGTATTCCCTCCTCGCGAGCTAGGAGAGGAAAAAGGAAAAATCACCGGGAGGAAGAGGAGAGGCTCTGTGTGACATCCCGGGGTATCTGAGCACTAGCAGCATGCACAAAACACCCACGTCTCCACTGAGAACTGGGAACACCTCAGGACACCGATGACAGGTACAGGCCGCATCCATTTACAATGAAGTCTCTCCCCCAAGTCTGGTACAAACAGGGTTTAGCACCGGGACCCGTCTCTGTCAGTGTGATTAGGTGGAGTTTTGCAAGGCCGAGCGTGCCGGCACATGTGGAGGTAGTCAGTGCGGTGACCAAGGCACAGCTGCAGGATCCCAGAAGGAAATCAGAGTGACTCCCTGCTCCGCAGACACCTCTGAAAGAGGCTGCAGCCCCATGGCTCCAATCCCTGATGCAGTCGGGAGATGGTCTCCCCTGAAAGCAATTCATCGGAAAAGGCAGGAGGCGTGCGGGGCCAGCGGGAAGGCTGCACGCTACGGGGGGAATTCTGCAGGAGGCCAATGCCAGGATAAAAATATTCAGCCCGTCGCAGCCAGTGGAGGGAATTAGGGTGGAATAACCTGCCTGCTGCGGTCACGGCAGGCTGCTTCAGCAGACGTTCACGGCAGGGCTCGGAGGGAACTCCTCGCACAGGGAAAACAAGTTAACAGGTCCCACGGGGCACGGGCAGATGGCCCCGCAGAGCTGCACACTCCGCTCGCTCCAGCAAGGGTGAAAGGAGCAGTCACAGCAAGCCGGGAAGGGACGGCGGGAAAGGCGGCCTTGCCAGTGCCCACATCGATCCATACGGATCCGTACAAGGAGAGAGAGGGCTCCACGATGCATCCGGCACGAAAGCCTCGATGGCAGCACTACGAGGCTGGATCAAGCCATATGGACCTGGTGGGCAACCCCTGTGTCACTATCCTTGCCGCGGGCCGGCTCTCTGGGGCATCACTGCAATGTACAGGCTGTGCCGGGGAAGAAGAGGGAAAACGTTGTCACACAGTTGAGGAACAGGACCCGTCATGACTGCACCAGGGTGTCATGGGCACCAGCAAAGCTGGGGATGCTCTGGGGTACCCACAATGGTTGGATGAGGCTCAGCTGAGTTCCCGTCACCCCTACCATGTGGCTGTGTCCCCAAGGGACCCCCTGGCATTGGGGACAGGAGAAAGCAGCCCCCAGCACGGAGCGGCAGCGCTACAACTGCTGTCCCCGCCAGCTGCAGGGCTTAGCGCCAGCAAGACAGGGGATTAAAATAATAATCATAACAGAAACGCTTTGAGGACAAGGGGAAGGATTTGCGTGTCACAGGGGGCTGCAGGACCCACGCAGCCTCCCGCGTCACTCCAGTCCCAGCTGCGATGGGGATCATGGCTGAGAGGGATGGAGAAGACCGAGGACGCAGGGAACGCTGTTCCAGTTGGTCCTCACTGGCTGTCGTGTCTGACAGCTCCATCCACGTTTCCCAGCCGGGGTGCCAAGCAAGGGTCCATCCCCAGACTCCCTTTGCGTGGCACCCCCTCCCTCCCCTGCTCCCGACAAGGAGAGAGGGGCCTGGGATGGAGGACAGGGACAGGGACAGGGCAGGAGGGGTCCCACACTCACAGTTCCGGACAGACTCCGCCAGTGCCTCCTTTCCCATGGATTGCGCCTCACGCATCTGTGGTGAGAGGAGCCTTGGGCAGCCTAACACCAGTGCTGCTGCTCCCCCTACCCTTTGGCAAAGCCCCCCAGCAGCCCTACCTTGATCTGGTCTTTCAGGTACTCGGCTCGGCCCATCAGCACCTGGATCTGCAACAGTGACAGCTATTTCAATCCTTCCCTCTACTTCCCCTCATGCCATGAGCTGTCCCCAAGGAGATGCCACCTCCAGCTTGCCAGACCTGGCACCTACCTCAGCATGGAGCAGCTCCCGACGCCTCCCCGCTGGCTCTGCTGGAGAGGGAAGCGGTGCCGTCAGGCGCTTGCTTGGGGGTGGCCCTGACCACGGTGTCGCGAGCCACTGTGGCCACAACTCACCAGCCAGGAGGAGCAGCAGCTCACCCAGGCTCTGCTGGTAGAGCTCCAGGGCGTCCTCATCGTCTCTGCCTTCCTCCTCCTGCAAGGGGCCCCGTGGCGGGACAGTTGGGCTCGGGACACACAGGGGATGGATGGTCCTCCTCCATCTGGGTGCTTCATACAGGAGCCCCCGGCTCCAAGACTCACCTTGGCAATGGCTGCAGAAGCCACTTCCAGCGCAGCACAGAGACGAGGCTTGTCCTTGGCCATCTCTGCAAGGGGACATTGCAAGAGAGGCACCACAGAGCAGCCCCGGGCTTCGGCCCAAAGCCAGGAGAGAGGCCCTCTGCTCCACTGCAATTGCCCCCCACTGGCGCCTTCCCACCCCGCACTTGAGGGTACCTTTGAGGAGCTCACGGGCAGGGTTTCCGCGCTGCAGGAGGCTCTTGTTGTCACACGTGACAAGCACTTTCAGCTCCTCCGCGCGGGAGATGTACTGTCCCACCTGGTGACAAGGAGGTGGCACATTAGGGGACTCCAGGGGCCACTCCATGGGGTGTCCCACTGCCAGGACCAGGGCAGCAAAGGGGTCCAAAACTCCCCAGCAGAGCATCAAGCATCACAATGGCCACCAGCCTGGCCCATGCCACTCACCTTGGCCCGGATGGCTTCTTTCCGGCGAGCATCGCCTTCATCTGCAGGAAGAGACACCAAAAAGCAGAAGGGCTCATGCAGTCCGAACGTTATCCCAGGAAACTGGCCACAATCTGGCCACCGGTGTCCTGAAGGCCCCTGCCTCTGCCCCTAAGGGATCCACTCACAGTGCAGAGCAGGCACAAAATACTCCAGGGCTTTGCAGTAGAGCGAGAGCGCGGCCGATGCATCCCCCGCCTGGTCCTTCTTCACCGCCTCCACCACCAGGCTGGTCTGGGGGAAAGGAGTCAGCACTGGGAGGCAGATCCACAACACGGCTCCCCCGTCCCCTGCACTGCAGTGCCCCACTCACCGCCTTGCCGAGGCTCTCTGGGCTCGGCATGTGCTCCATGTCCACGAAGGGGTGGGCGAAGAAGTGCTCAAAGGAGATGCGCTTCGAGGGGTCCCGCTCCAAGAGGCGTTGCAAGAGATCCCGGCACTCCGGCGAGAGTCGGGGCCGACTGGGCAGCTGCCGGGGGACGGGTGACCCCACTCTGCTGCTCCAGCTAGCCCAGGACCCACTGGCTGATGTCCCCATCATAGACCATCCCACGCTGGCCCCTCCAGACACAGCGCCACTGCCCCGCTGCAAGTCAGCCCTTCCCCTCCACAGGCACCAGGCCCTGCGCCCATCACCCTGCCTTGGGGCAGGTTGGCCCTACCTCGATAACCCGCTCGCTGCGGATCTTCTCCTCCAGCTCTGCAAACGACCTGGAGGCAAAGGGTGGATGCCCAAAAAGCGCCTCTGCGGGGGAAGAAAGTGCCTGGTGTGAGCCCAGGGTGGCAGCATCCTCGGATTCATCCTGCCCAGGATAGGGAACATCGACTCCTCGGGGCTGGTGGCTGCCAGTACCCTGGACAAACAGGATGGGCTGTGGGATGTTCACTGGAAGGGAGCTGTCTCAGGCCATGGATACGCCAAGCGATGGGGGCTCCTAGTTTTCTTGGTCTGCAAAGGGACCCTGTGTGCCCAGTGAGATCCCGGCTGCCAACCCCATGGTGGGGACAGCCCCCCATGGCCCCAGAGCATGGACAGGACCAGGAAAAGCCTCCCCAAAGGCCAGGAAGGAAGTGAAGGAGCACCGTAAAGGATTACGCCCAGGGACCAGAGGTCCGCGCGCGCGTCGTACTGCTGGCAGCAAACCATCTCCGGCGCCATGTAGAGCGGTGAGCCCCTCAGCACGTGCTGCTCGTCCCACGGGGACATGTACTGAGCAAAGCCGAAATCTGCAGGAGGGGACCAACAGGGTGCACGGTTGGACCGGTCCCTGCATGACCCATGGGTGAAAAAGAGCGCCAGGGGGTCGGGAACACCCCGTCAGACCTCAGCCCCTCTGTCCAAGAGGCTCCACAGCAAGAGGGGCTCAGGGACCCTCCTCCTGGGACGCAGGCCACGGGCTGGGGACATTCCAGGGGACATTCCCAGGCAGCCTCGCAGGAGTCCCCTGTCCCCCTCAGTGGGGACCCGAGCTGGCTCTCCCACCTGCCAGCTTGAGCTGGGGGTTCTCCAGGCTGCTCAGGAGGATGTTCTGCGGCTTGAGGTCCAGGTGGGAGATGTTGCGGTCGTGCAGGAACTTGAGGGCACAGGCTGCATGGGCAGAGGGGCCTCCCTGCCACACTGCCACACAGACTGTTCTCAGCGCCTGGGTTTTCCAAGGAGAAGGGGTGCCAGAGAGCCGCTCACCGAGCTGCTGCAGGAAGACACGCACCACCTTCTCGGGCAGGATGCGCCGCATGCGGATGAAGCGGGAGAGGTCTCCGCCGGCGCAGAACTCCATGATCAGGTAGATGTGGTCGCTGTCCCACTGCGGGGTGAGGCCGCTGCTGTCACCCTGCACCCTGCAGGGGGGTCCCGGCCGCCCGGCGCGCGGGCCCTGTCCCACCTGGAAGTCCTTCAGCTCCACGATGTGCGGGTGCCGCACAGCCTTGAGGATCTCAATCTCGGTGAGCAGGTTCTCCACGGAGGCCCGGTTGAGGCTCCGCTTGCTCACGCACTTGACGGCCACCACCTCGCGGGCGTTCCTCTGCGGGGTGGCAACGGCGAGTCCCCCATCACCACCCCGGCATGTCCCCAGTGGTGATCCCACAGGAGGAGGCCAGGGCAGGGTGTCCCCTCCCAAGGGACATGTTTGCACGCGGGGGCACAGACACCCTGTGCCTGGGAGGAGAAGGAGGAAGAGGTGGGGGGTGTTCAGATGGGGGCCTATGGACCGCGGGGGGCACTGGAGCTCCCGGGGGGTCCCTGCAGCAGGTCCCGCCCCGGGGCGACGCGGAGGGTCCCGGGCAGCGGGACTGTCCCCCAGCGGGGAGGGGACACCCCGTCCCGGGGGG